AACCAGTCACTCTCAAACTCGGTGGCTTAAGACAACTACATTTTATTTTCTCACAATCTTATGGGCCAGGAATTTGGGCTGGTTTCGGCTGTGTGGTTCTTCTGATAGTGGTTGGCCCCAGGGTTGCCCAAGCAGCAGCAGTCATCTCTTGACTCCCCTTAGAGCTGGTTGGCCTAGGGGACCCAGCTGGGACAGCTTCCTCCTGCTTCATGTGGTCTCATCCTCCAACAAGCTAGCTGAGCTGCTTCAAGGGCAGTAATACACTCCAAGAGGCTAAGGGCTAAAGGCAGAAGCTGCAAGGCATCTTGAGGCCTGGCTCAGAAGAATATGACTTCTGCTCCATTCCTTTGGTCAAAGCAAGTGACAAGGTTATCTTAGATTCAGGAGGTGAGGAAACAGACTCTACTTCTTCCTGAGAGTAGCTGCAAAGCATTTGTGGCCATTTTTAATCTACCACAGCTACATTCTCACAAATAAATGAAAATAATACAATAGAGCTCTTAGGAAATAGCCAAATATAGCATAATATAACATAATATGCAAGAAGATAATTTCCTAAGAGCCTCTCCCTCTTTTGGAAATATATCTTATATATTATATGTTAGATATATTTATTATATATTAGATATATTTATTAGATATATATTTTTTATATATATATATATGAGACAGGGTCTCACTCTGTCTCCCAGGCTGTAGTGTAATGGTGCAATCACAGCTCACTGCAGCCTTAACCTCCCAGGCTCAAGTGATCCTCCCACCTCAGCCTCCTGAGTAGCTGGACTACAGGCATGCCCAGCTAATTTTTGTATTTTTTGTAGATACGGGGTTTCACCATGTTGCCCAGGCTGATTTCAAACTCCTGGGCTCAAGTGATCCTCCTGCCTCAGCCTCCCAAAGTGCTGGGATTACAGGCATGAGCCACCATGCCCAGCTTATATTAAAAAATTTTTATTATATTTAAAAGCCCTCCCACAGTTCAGGGGCTTAACAAAAAGCTAGAGCAAAAACTTGGACTCTCTTTTTTGGCCTGACCTTTAAAACACATTATTTCTTACTGCATTAGATTTTCATTAGTTAATATCTCATGAAACCAACTGTCATTAACCTAAAAGTTCATTTTGTGGACTATTCAGCCCCTTTCTTGCCGTCCATCTTCAAGGCAGTTTTTTCTTGGGATGATCACCAGAAGTGCTAGTAAAATTACCTGACTTCCAACACAATCAAAACAGGACTTGGAGGGGAGGGGGCAAAGGGGAGGAGAAACAAAAGTATAATTCAGCAAACTGAAAGCCAACAGTCAAGTTCTCTTTTGTATAAAGAGGTTCTACTAAAAAAAAAAAAAACAAAAAAAAAAAAACAAAAAAAAAAAACCTATCCCATATATTAATAGCAAAGGAAATGAATAATCAAAATTATAGCTACCATTTATTGAGTGCTTTCTTTATGCTAGTCACTGGTCACATACATGTTCTCCTTTAGTTCTTTGGCAATCTTGGGTAACCATTCTACAAATGGGGAAACTGAGGCTCAGAGAATTTAAGCAACTTATACCTATGGTCACAATTGAAGAGTGCCAGAGCCGGGGGATTCAAATCAGAGAAAATACTACTAGTAAACGATGTGGAAAAAGATCCAACATAAGAAAGAAATCCAACTTAAAACATTATTATTATTTGAAGTATCATTTATTACCTACCAAATTGCACATTTTTTAATGGTAATGCCCAGTGGTTGGCAGGGGGTCAGTGAAACTGGTCCTTATATTGTAGATAGCATTATAGATGGGTTTAATCCTTTTGTGAAGCAATATGAAAATACGTAAACAAGAGCCACAAAAGTGGTCATACCTTGTCTTTGCCCACTTTCTGTTGTGTATAACAGAATACCTGAAACTGGGTAATTTATAAGAACAAAATTTATTTAGTAATATTACATTTCTGGAGGCAAGGTCAAGGTGGAGCATTCGGTGGAGAACCTTCTTGCTGGCAAGGACTCTCTGCAGAGTTCTAAGGCAATGCAGGGCATCACATGGCAAGGGAGCTGAGCATGTTAACAGGCTAGTTCAGATCTTTCTTCTTCTTATAAAGTCACCAGTCCCACTCCCATGATAACACATTAATCCATTGATGAGAGCAGAGCCTTCATGACCCGATCACCTCTTAAGGGCCCTACCTCTCAATATTGCCACATCTTGGATTAAGTTTCAACATGAGTTTTGGAGGGAACAAACATTCAAACTATAGCATACAAATTCACTTTCTGAAATCTATCCTAAGGTAAACAGTCCAAAACTTGGAAAAGACTATATTTATGAACAGTCATCAAAATGTTATTTAAATAGTAAAAACTTAAGAACAATGGAAATGACCAGAAATATGTGAATGATAAACTAAACTACATCTACTAAATAAAACATTTTATAATAATTAAAGATTGTGAATATGAAGACTGTGCAGTAGTATGAGAATGCACTAGGAAAAACAAAAAAGCAAGATGAAAGCAAGGTTTGGTGGTGTGCAGCTATGTTTCCAGCCCCTTGGCAGGCTACGACAAGAAGACAGCTTGAGCCCAGGTGTTCCAGGCCAGCCTGGGAAACATGGTGAAACCCAACTTGAAAAAAAAAAAAAAAAAGGCCGGGCACGGTGGCTCATGCCTGTAATCCCAGCACTTTAGGAGGCCAAGGTGGGCGGATCACTTGAGGTCATCAGTTTGAGACCAGCCTGACTAACATTACTAAACACACAAAAATTAGTTGGGCGTGGTGGTGGGCGCCTGTAATCTCAGCTACACAGGAGGCTGAGGTGGGAGAATTGCTTGAACCTGGGAGGCGGAGGTTGCAGTGAGCCGAACTCGTGCCACTGTACTCCAGCTTGGGCAACAGAGGAAAAAAAAAAAAAAAGGGAGGATGCAAAATAAATGTAATTACTATATTTACAAATCTGTTAATGGGGATAGGAATGGGGAACTAGCAAGAAATAGTCCAGAACACTAAAAGTAGTTATGTTAAGGTGATAAATTTGTAATTGTTTTCTTTTGCTATTATTGCTATTTTTTGGCAATGTGCTTATATTATTTCTAAAATATAAAATAATTTCATTTAAAAATAAACCAAAACATTTTTTCAAGGAATCAAAAGTAGTTGTGTTGGAAGTAACACAATCTGCCCAATGAGGCTGAGACCAGGCCCTTATATCTGGGAGTTAAAAATGTAGCAAAGTTATTTCCATCTCCAGTTTCCAGCCCTTAATCCATAAATCCCAACGACATCACGTCAGTCATTGAACAACTTGAGCTACTGATCTGCAGGAACTGTCAGGCTCTTTTTCAGCTCTCCTAGTATCAAACCAAACCTGCTACTCTGAACTCCACCTTCCCTGGACTTTTCCATCACTTTGTTGTCCCTCCTTTTTTCCACAATTCTGAGGGCTTTTTTTTTTTCTTTTATCAATGACATCAGATCCTCAGAGATCAACCTATTATGGCAAGAATGTCTGAGACATTTTTGTGGAGTCAGTTGTAATGTTTAACCTTGGTCCTGAGCGTGTTCTGGAAACAAAGCATGTTTAGACAATGACAGCATCTCTTTTTCCAAAGTTAAAAAGTATATATTTCAAACTGAAGTGTTTTTCTGGATAATTCTTTTTTTTTTTTTTTGGATAATTCTTTTAACTTTATGTTAAAACAAGAGCCAAGCCTCATGGCCTATGTTTTTTAGAATATTCAAACATTTAAAATAAGAAATTGAATGCAGTTGGAAAAAAATTCCTTTGGAGAGAGTAATCTAGTTGATTCTGCAGCAAGGCTCAGTTTAGCTATAAATTTGAAAGCTAGTCCTGGAGTGAGTGAAATAATCTAAGTAGTATAGTTGAATTACCTCTGTAGGACATCTGGGCAAAACTGTGAGATGTTGGAACCCTTGGCAGGATATTTCAGAGTGGGATTTGGGTAGTATCTGTGGCTTCTGCTTCTCATTCTCCCCTTGCTTCCAAACATCTGTCTGGCCTACTTGTCCCTTTCCAGAACTAGGTTACTCCATCTTTTTTACATCTAAACCAACAGTGATGTCCAGGTCCCTTCTCATAGTAATATGAGCCTGTCTGCAGATTAACTTCGGAGGATATATATTTTGTAGTTTTGTAACATGTAATGTTATTAAACATATATTTTCACATTGATGATGCCTTAGAGAGGATTTTAAACTTAAAGCCAAATCCCATCTCTATAGCATTTCATAAGTTGCTCATATTGGTGTAACAGGTATTACTAAAAAATTTTGATGAAGTTTCCCATCCAAACCAGAGGACTCTTAAATGAAAATAACAGCAAGATCACAACTTTGTGTGTGTGTGGGGGGGGGGGGGCGCGCGTGGGGCACAGGGTCCCGCTCTGTCACTGAGGCTGTGTCACCCAGTGCAGTGGCGTGATCTTGACTCACTGCATCACTGACCTCCCAGGCTCAAACAGTCCTCCCACCTCAGCCTCCCAAGTAGCTGGGACTACAGGCACATGTCACCATGCCCAGCTAATTTTTGTATTTTGTATTGGGAGTTTCACCATGTGGCCCAGGCTGGTCTCGAACTGGGCTCTAGCAATCTGCCTGCCTCAGCCTACCAAAGTGCTGGGATTATAGGCATGAGCCACCGTGCCTTGCTAAGATCATAATTTCTATTGGTGCTACTTGAGGCAGATGCTACTGACCTTATTTGGAAACAGCTAAACAACTCACTTGAATTGTAGGCCCATTATGTGACAAGCTGGGGGAAAGAGAATTTGCAAGTGTCTGATTTTGTTACTCTATTTGTTATGAATTGAATGTTTGTCCTTCAAAAATTCTTATGTTGAAACCCTAACTCCCACTGTGACAGTAATAGAAAGTGGGGCCTTTGGAAGTAAACAGGTTTAGAAGAGATCATAAGGGTAGAGCTCTCATGATGGGATTATGGCCATATAAGAAGAGAAAGACTAGAGCTCTCTCTCTCTCTCTGCCATGTTAGAAGATAGCAAGAATGGAGGCATCTGCAAATAAGGAGGGACTTCCCAAGACACCAATTGCAGGTACCTCTATCTTTATCTTGATCTTGGACTTCCCAGCCTCTAGAACTGTGAGAAATAAATGTTTGATGTTTAAGCTACACAGTCTGTGGTAGTTTATTATAGTCACCCAAAGTGACTAAGGCACTGTTCTTCCCTGAGATAGTGTTTGAATAGCCAGTACTTACTTTGGCTCTGTGTTCAGATTACTGACTCAGCGATGGAGATGTTATCGGCAAAATGCCATTACCTGCACATTTTGGATATCTCTGGTTGTGTCCTGCTTACTGACCAAATCCTTGAGGACCTTCAGATAGGCTGCAAACAACTCCGGATCCTTAAGATGCAATACTGCACAAATATTTCCAAGTAAGTATGTACCTGACTATGACAAACTTTGAGAACTACTTTCTGAGAAAACATAGTATATGGCTATAAGGTTCATAATACATAGCAGCTTTCAGTGTTAGGAAGTTTCATTTCATTTTATTTTTTGCCTAATTGAAGCTAACATTGTGAGCTATTCTAAAATGGCCTTTGTGGTTTCCTATCCCTTTTCCAGTAGGCCTTTTACTTTAAGCATCTTCCCTTCCTTGACTAAGCAGGTGTCCAAAGCTTTAACTCTAGCTCTTTCTCTGCTCATTTCTCAAAATACAGTCCATTCAGTTAATCTCCCCTAGAGGATTACGAGAATCATCTGATTAAACAAGCTCACAAGTTTTTGCCTCTTGACTGAGGGCAAAAATGTGCAAGTATTTTAACTGACCTGATAAAGTAACATATGAAATGCTTAAAATGAGAATCCTTGACCATTCCCTGAAATAGAAGATAAGGTTCTATTGGGCAGGTGTGAAAAATTAATACCAAGAATTAATATTATCAAAGTATAACGTGCACAATGTGGCCCACGCATGTAGATTTCACAGAGGAACTTTCTTAATTAAGTAGTTATGGCATGAGCTGAACCATGAGCTCTGGTTACTTGAGGCCTGAGGAAGAAAATGGTTTCTTATCCAAGGAAGTGTAAGTTAAAATGAAATGGAAAAAAGAAAGAAAAATTACTTGTAAAACAGCCATTCCCACTGGGCCCAGGCCTTCAGCGGGAGGGCAGCCAGCTGGAGCTGGATCAGAGAGAAGGGGGTAGGTCCTTGAAAATTTTTGAGGAGGGGTGGAGACTCAACCCTTCATGATAGGTCTGGAGATAACTCTGATATGAATACTATTAACCTCATTTAAAGAACATACAATGAAATAGGGTCCTAGGAGTCTCTGCCAAACTTGTTAGATTATTAACAGACAACTTTGGGCAAGATGACAGTGAATGAATAATGTGTTACTCAAAGAAGTTTATCTTCTAATCTTTTGATTGTATTTTGCCAATCACTATTTATAAGAGGTAATATTACTGAACTTCTAATAAGTAAGATTCTAGAATGAATGGAGATTTTCTGGCAAGGGGCTCTTTGAACCTAATCATGGTGTGATGCTATGGTTTGAATGTGTTCCCCCAAGTTCATGTGTTGAAAATTAATCCTCAATGCAACATTATTGAGAGGTGTGACCTTTTCAGAGGTGATTAGGTGATGAGGGCTCTGCCCTCATGAATAGACAAATGCTATTATCGTGGAAGTGAGTGAGTTATCATGGGAGTGGGTTCCTGATAAAAGGATGAGTTAGGGCTCCTTCTCTCCTGCTATGGGATGATACAAGAAGGCCCCTGCCAGTTGCTGGCACCTGATATTGGACTTCCCAGCCTCTATAACTATAAGAAATAAATTTCTTTTCTTTATAAATTACCCAGTCTGTACTATTCTGTTATAGCAACACAAAATGGACCAAGACATATGGGACACTGAAGTATGATTAATATAGTGACTGGTCAAGAAGACCCAGGATATCCAGTAACATCCGAATCCTGCCTTTAACTGCTCAGTCTTCTTGCTGGGTCCCTAGATTTAATAAATATACGTGCAAAAAAAAAAAAAATAAAACAAGGCATAGTAAGACTTGGCTACTAGCTGGGCTTTGTCCCAAAACCCCAATGCAGAACTCTAATTAACCGGCTATAGCTATGAAAAATTCCATTGTCTAAGCTGTGACAGCCAAAGGCCTATTTTGTCTTCTGCAATCAAACTTGGCTGTCCCTATCCACAAGAAGCAGGCAGAGACTTGGCCCTAATGCTTAGAAAGGGGCTGGTTTTGTGTGTGCACTTCGTTGTCTAAAGAGGCCACACCACTACCCTTTAGTCTCCCTGAAAGCTCCACCTTTGCTTAGCTCTAGCAGGAAAGAGGCCTAGAATCCCTTGATTCCATCTTTGTCTAGCGATGGAGAAAGACAGTCCTCACTGCAGAGTAGCTTGGAGAGTCCCAGTGTTTGGACTAGTAAGGCTCCAGAAACATCTGTCTTTATGTCCAACATCTAGGAGAGGGTGCTACTTGTCAGTTAGGGTGCTCCTGAAATACCCTGGCCTCAAATTTTTTGATTAGAGAAGTGGTAAGGAGGCCTAGTTGCAGGCAGCTTTTTGGGATCAGCTCTGGGGGCTCTATTTTGCATTTAAATCCTTTGGTGGAGTTGGAAATACACAGTGTATGTAGACGCTTCAAAACTCAAGCCCTTGATGATCTCTAATTCCTTGCCTATGCTCACTCTAATCAGGGCCAGTGTGGCTCCCTCAACTGCAGAGGCTTTGTCTTGCCTGGGTGAAACAGAACCTTTGGTAGGTGGGATAAGAGAGATTTTTCTGGCTTGGGAAGAAGCTCAGTGACTTTGAATCACAAAGCAATGCTCTCCACATGCTTGATTCCATTTTGAACATGAAAACAATGTATGGTGCAGCCCTTAAGATCCAATTACTGCTGTCAGAAGAGGCTGTTTTATACATAAATTCCCTCATACTCAGTGGAATTTGAAATTACTGCGCCAGCTTTGCAAATCAAAGAGGTCTGCTCAGCTCACCCTTTCTGAACCAGAGGAGTAGCAAACTTTTGGTCAATGAGCAAATTGGCTGTAGCTCTTTTGCAGGAGAGTTTCCCACAGAAGATATGTCTGGCATTCTACCAACCCCAGAGTCTGAAGAGTTTCCAGGAAGTGACCCCAGAAGCGCCATGTGGATGCAAGATAAAGGCTCCTTTATTTCAGGGAGGAATAAGTAACAACTATGATCAGAAAACATGACAAGCTGTTTGTATTTGAAGCAGCTGTGACAGCCAGCCATTCAATTTATGGCCCTCTGTGGGGAAAGGCAACAAGGTAGAAGGAGTGAGAGAGAGGAAGAAAGACCTTCACAATGGCCCCCACAACCCAGGAGGGCCTGAACCACAGAGAACCTGAAGAATCACTAATTGTATAGTTAGCGAAAAGGCTAATTCAAGAACAGAAAACCAAATAAAGCATGTTCGCACTTATAAGTGGGAGTTAAATGATGAGAACACATGGATGGGAACAAGACACACTGGGGCCTGTTGGAGGGTGGAGGGTGGGAAAAGGGAGAGAATTAGGAAGAATAACTAATGGATACTGGGCTTAATACTTGGGTGATGGAATGATCTGTGCAGCAAACCACCATGGCACACGTTTACCTATGTCACAAACCTGTACATCTTGTACATGTACTCCTGAACCTAAAATAAAAGTTGGAAATAAATTTTTGAAAAAAGTAAAGGAAACTTTCTGGTGTATTTGCATCTGGAGCCCAAAACCTTCAATTCTAGAGAACGAGTAAAGAAAGTCTTAGTGGCCTTCAGAGCCCCAGATCACAATATGAAGATTCCTGGAGGGCCTTCTTAGCAGTTGCTAGAAGCGTAAACTCGAACAATTCCTACTCTCAGGCATTCTAGGAGATCTGTGTTGCTAAAACATAAAACTCTTATCAGAGTTCTCCTCTCCAGCTCATGGAAAGGTTCAAGCCTTTCTGATGTGGAACTGTTGACTTTTATGATCGGTATGAAGAAATAATGTTATTTAACAATTATTTGCCACGTACTGTGCTAAATCCTATTTTACAGATATTATAGAATCCTCACAAATACACTTTATCATCAAAATGGATAAGGAAACTAGTTTAAACAGGTTAAATAACGTGCCCACAGCCACACAAATAAGGAGAGCCCTACTTTGTATCTAGGTCATACTGTGCTGCTTTTTGCCTTTAGATTACATTCTCAAGCTTTTTGAAAGCTCTGACATTCAAGGGATGTGGTCAGTAAGGGGAGACACGTGCTCTGCTGTGCCCAATTTATGTCTGATGCACATTTATAAGACAGGCTATGGATTATGAGCAATCCTTGGTGGTGGCTCCAACATTCCCTTTTTTTGCCTACTCAAGAGATTAGAAGGAAATGTGAGCTAGGGCACACAATGTTACTACAAGGCTAACCCTGAATCCCTTTTAATTTATAAGAAACAAAAATCACTAACAAACTTCAGTACAGTGTTGTTATTAACCACCTAATGTGAAACATTACAACTGTGACATATTATGTTTGAGAATCACTGTTCTATACTGATCCAAAGAAACCTTTCTCACCAGGTTAAATAAGTAATGATGACCAACCACTGCAGCAGATTGGTTCAATTCCCAAATCATTTCATACAGGGTCTCACAGTCACTTAGGCCAAAGCAGAATGGAATGCAGTCAAAGGATTCCATATGTGCTCTATGAAATTTAGAACACACAGTGGTTCCTAAGAATACATTTTCTTTTCAATATTTCCTAGCTCCCATGTGCTGATCATACTGCAGCATCAAGCTATTAAGACAGAAAGGGGAGGGGTGGGGGGGAGAGAGAGAGAGAGAGGTTTCTCGCAGAAATGTAGTTTCTACATTTTTAACGTTCCTGATACCATTCAAAATACATGTGTAAGAGCTTCTGCACAGCAAAAGAAACAATCAACAGAGTAAACATAATGGGAGAAAAATATTCGCAGATTATGCATCCGACAAAGGTCTACTATCCAGAATCTAGAACTTAAATCAACAAGCAAAAACCAAACAACCCCGTTAAAAAGTGGGCAAAAGACATGAATGGAAACCTCTCAAAAGAAGACATATAAGTGGCCAACAAACATATGAAAAAATGCTCAACATCACTAATCATCAGAGAAATGCAAAATTACTCACAATGTAGTATCATCTCACACTAATCAGAATGGCTATTATTAAAAAGTCAAAAAATAACAGATACTGGTGAGGACATGGAAAAAAGGGAATGCTTATACACTGTGGTGGGAGTGTAAATTAGGTCAGTGAAAATGGAAAGCAGTATACAAACTTCTCAAAGAACTAAAATAGAATTACCATTTAACCCAGTAATCCCACTACTGGGTATCTACCCAAAGGAAAAGAAATAATTCTATCAAAAAGACACCTGCACTTGTATGTTTATTGTGGCATCATTCACAACAGCAAAGTCATTGGATCAACCTAAGTGCCTGTCAGCGGTGGACTGGATAAAGAAAACATGGTACATTCAGACCATGGGATGCTACACAGTCATAAAAAATAATGAAATCACGTCCTTTGCAGCAACATGGATGCAGCTGGAGGCCGTTATCCTAAGTGAATTAACACAGAAACAGAAAACCAAATACTGCATGTTCTCACTTAAAAGTGGGAGCTAACCACTTGGACATAAAGATGGAAACAATAAACACCGGGAACTCCAAATGTGGGGAGGCAGGGAGGATGGTGAGGGTTAACAAAGTACCTACTGGGCATCATATTCACTATTTGGCTGATGGGTTCAATACCAGCCCAAACCCCAGCATTATGTAATACACCCACATAACAAACCTGCACATGTACACCCTGAATCTATTTTTTTTTTTTTAAAAAAGGTACATTTGTGCAAACACACAGCTACATAGGATGCTATGATAAAGAACTCAGAAAAACCTTCTGGCAGTCACTTGCTGATCTCTTCTCTTGGCAAGGTCCTGGGTCTTAGGATAGTCAGTCCATGTGAGGATGCCAAAGGTGATGAGGACAGCTAGTCATGGCTAAGGCTTTTCTGAAGGGCAGGCAAGAAGTGGAATAGGAAATAGTCTACACTAGTATCCATAGCTCTCTAAAAATAATCCTAGATTTGCTCCAGGACAGATTCATATTTTCTGTTTTTCCCTGAGACCACCCTTGTTGTGAAAGCACTTAAGACTAAAACAGGCCCTAAAGACACACCAGGTGGAGGAAGCCTTAACCTCCCAGAACTTGAGTCTGGAAGGAGAGTGCGTCTGAGATCTGATCCTTTGCTCCCCTCCAGTCAGTAAGGATCACTTCCAATAGTCAGGGGACCCACTGATGTTTGGTCTCACTAAAGCTGTCTGTGGGTGGACTGGAGAGCAGAGCTGGGGTAAGGGGGACGGGGATTAAGGAATGAGTACATTAAAGAAATGTGTATACCAGTGGGCATTTCACCCATGGCTGGGGTTCAACATGCAGCTCATTTCGATTCTGTCCCATCACACTGCATTAAAGGAGTTGTCTCCCTGTTCACTTGCTGTTTTTCTTATATTAAGGAGTCAACATTCTCACCTTTCTTTTTCTTATTTTTTCAAACCCCCACTACTTGCTAATTGTTTTATATCACAATTACCATCTAATTTACCCTGGCTTGTAGCTGACTAAGCAACCATAGCACTCAATATTTACACATTCCCAGACTTATCATTAGTAGTACTTATCCTCTTACCAGTTATCTAGAACCCTCAAAACTGTTGCTCTTCTGACATTAAAGGTAAGATGTAACTTAGTGAATCAGGATTTGCAAATCTTTTACTCCCTAAAACAAGCATTTCCTTTTCCTGTAGGTCAAGATCATTGTTGCCTCTAACTGTGCTACTCTTGTACTATAGTCAACATCAGTGGCATTGAATGATTAGGAACAACTGACAACTGCAGGGTGTGTCCAGAACTCTGGTGTTTGGGAGGCAGGAGGCAGGAGGGTGTTGGAAATAGGAACATAAGAATGCCCTTCTAGACCAGCAAACCAGCAAAAGCCAAGAGGGTTAAAGGACTTCCCTTCTTGGTGTAAGCTGCTGAAATCTCTCGTTTGAGCTATTCATGATAAGTTTCAGAAAGTTGCAAAGAAATGTAATAAACTCTTAAGTAACTTACTGCCTTCTTAAATAAAAGGAAAATGACAAAGTTTAAAATTATAAATAATTAATGCCATGAAGCTATGTAATAGAAAGAAATTAATTCTATGATCAACTTCCTGTAGATATTTAGAGGAGGAGAAGATTGGGTTTGAGCCATTTCCAAGGAGGCTGGATTGGTTTGGAGTTTTGAAAAATGGATAATGTTTAGGCTGGTAGAGATGGGTGAAGGGTAACAATGGAGCCTTGCTGTTTAGGACACTGTTTACTCACATGAAACTGATGGTGCCAATGTTATATGCCTCAACATTTGGTATTACGTTTCAGTAAGTCTTAGGGGGAGAAATGTTCAGACAGTGTGTTGAAAGATACGATAAGTTCACCTTTATAGAATTGAAAAGGGAAAAATATCATTAGGAGAATAATATGGGAGAAGCAAAAGATATAAACCCATTACTTTTGCATAGTAATGTTCTACGATGAGGATATATAAAGATTACATAAGAGGTTTAAAATGCAGGATAGCACCTTTAAAAAAGATAAAAAAATTAACAGAATGCAAAACATTATCTTTGACAATAAACTTATCATTTTCAAAACTGAGAATAAATATTTCTCTGAAGAGAATAAACTTGTTTGCCAAGTTTTAGTCCATAGGGATTGGTGGCTTCAAACTAGAAATTAGTATATGATCATTGCTTTTACTCAATTTGTTCTTTAAGTATGTAGAAGTTTTGTGTGAGAGCAGATATATCAGTTAAAAAGCAATGTGCTTAGAGGCAGAATTAGCAATGCTTTGGTTATCTCCCTGTTGAGTTTGGTTACAATTATTTTAATACATCTGAAGTTCAACTTAACTGTAACAGCAATTTAAACTGCTATCTCTGTGTTGTTGGGGTTTTTTCTTCCTATTTCATTGCCTTACCTGAACTCATATCGCCATTCAGCACAAACTTAACTCAAAGTGTATGGTAATGCCAGCTCCATATCAATGACTCAGTTTCCAGACTTTTGCAATTAATAACTCAATGTAACATACAGCAAGAGTGGAGAAGGTAGTGCCTTCATGGGTAAACATCACAGTTACTAATTTCTAATCCTACAGAAGTGGTCAATTGCTCATCTCCTTTTTAGTACTAATTTCGTGATTCAAACCAACTTTCTAGGAAAGGAAATTCTTCCTTCTGTCCTCACAATGGCTTTGTTTTCAAGTTAGACATACTTTTTTTCTGATGCCTTCTTTACTTTCTTATTTCCTCCTAAGAAAGACTATAACAGTATTTTTTAATCACTTTGGTCATGGACACCTTTGAGTCACAAACCTTCTCATAAAAATGTGTATTATAGACAAAACTGCATGAACTTTCAGGGAGTACATGGACCTCCCTGAAGTTCATCCATGTAGTCAAAAGGGATCTGTGAACTCTGGGTTAAGAGCTCCTGGCCTGGTGCATGGTCAGCCTTCACAGGTAGGGTGGTTAGGTTACTCCCTCATCAGAGAAACTAGAAATACCAAGGAAGGGGCTTACTCAAAGCAGTGTAAATAAATAGAGGCCTCAGTGTTCCTCTTCCATGGCCATGTGTAGTTTCCTTACCCATTCACTGTATCTGTTAATTTCTGAAGTGGTTGAATCAGAGCTACTGAGGCTTTGGGACCCTCTTTATTTGTACATTTACCCATCTCCTCACTCTCAGCAAGGCAAGAGAGGTCTGATGTGAATTCAAATTGTGACAGTGAATTCTCTAACTCCAAATTTGGTTGAGTTTGAAAATTCTGCACTAGGGATTACTTCTGCAACTAGCTAATGCTAAGCACTGTTATTACAGGAAGGCAGCTCAGAGAATGTCATCTAAAGTTCAGCAGCAGGAATACAACTCTAATGACCCTCCACGTTGGTTTGGCTATGATAGGGAAGGAGACCCTCTTACAGAGCTTGACAATGTAACACCATCTAAAGGAGCCTCAGAATTAACAGTGGAAAAGTCAACATATAGCAGTGAAGAGCAAGTAGCGTGACCTTCAGCCTCAAGCAGGAAAAACAACAAATCAAGAACTTGACAAGTTTTCTCCATTTGTTGCAAGTATGTTCACTAGCTGAATCTCAATAACAATGTAAACAAGCAACAAACCATCTTCTGATTCTTATTCCAACTACAAATATTTCCAAATACATCAGTAGTTCTTCTGTCTAAATAATCATGATTTAAAAAAGAAGCCAGGCCGGGAGCAGTGGCTCATGCCTGTAATCCTAGCACTTTGGGAGGCCGAGGCAGGTGGATCATAAGGTCAGGAGTTCGAGACCAGCCTGGCTAGCATGGTAAAACTCCATCTCCACTAAAACTACAAAAATTAGCTGGCTGTGGTGGTGAGGGCCTGTAATCCCAGCTACTCGGGAGGCTGAGGCAGAGGACTCGCTTGAACCTGAGAGGCAGAAGTTGCAGTGAGCCTAGATCACGCCACTACACTCCAGCCTGGGCGAAAGAGCAAGACTCTGTCTCAAAAACAAAACAAAAAACAAACAAACAAAAAGAAGCCAAATCAAGTACTGACTACATAAAATTTCTGCCTAAATTTAATCAAACCAATAGTTTTTTGATGAGATTATAAAATGTAAAGTTATATGAAACAACCCTGAGAGATGAGATTTTTTTTTGATAAGAAATTGAGAAATTTTTCTCTAGAAAGGAAAAAGAAAGCAGAGATGGCCATATGTCAAACTAAGAGTTTGAGCCAGGGCCATAACTTTAAGGATCTGTGGTGCTTTATAAAGTTTTATAAAGAATACAGACATATATTAATATTTTCAAAGGAAATGTGGCTTTCCTGTGGTTTCCAGACATTTAACAACAAAAGAGAACTAAATGCCACCAATTAACTCTGGACTTATCTCAACATTTGACTTAGTCAGGGGCAAATTAAATAGAAACTAGAACTATCTGAATAGAAAGAATGTCCCTGCAATGTCTCAGAAAGATATTTCTTTAATCAAATTTGCACAATGGAGGAATTCTTAAACTATGCTATGCCAAAAAAGATGCTCCCTCAATTTTATGCTAGGAAGTATGGGTTATTAATTGCATATCTACATATTAGTTTTTAATAAGCTTTAATCTGTGGGTTTTAGTATATGTGCTGCTGAAGCCAGCACATCTGTGGGTTTTTACCATTATTTGATATTATGTAACACTGATGTTGACACAGTCCAAGAGAAAGCACAACTCTGTTCTGACTGCTGCAAACAAGCTATGTCAGCAATATCAGATCAGCCTTTTAACCTATTTCCTCAATTACTTATCTCTCACGTGGAGTTCTCTTTTTGTATTCCACAAGTTTCAAACAAGGATTAAAAACTTAAAGCATCGTTATTTTGAAAAGTTTTAAAAAGATTGTACAAAGTATTATTATAGGTTACCCTGTATTAGCTAAATGCTTTTAGTAATTCTCCCCCACTGAGGCTGATTTGCAAAGTTTTTGAAATAAGGTAATATTACTTAGCTGTGGAAAGGTTCTTAGGAGTGGGCACACAGGCAACAGAATCATTTCAATGGGAAGTTTTAGAACCATAGCCAAGAGACATAAGATGACATAAGAGTACGGTTTTAACCTAAATTTGGAAATTTCTGGCAGCTGCATTAAAGATGTTTTCAAAAATCTGATTCCTAAGTGCCCATGCACACAACTGGAGGAACTTATAAAAGAGGCAATTGCTTTCTCAAGGAATGACACCTGCACTGGGAAGACCCCGGTAAGAAACACACCCTGTTACGTATTCTCCAGAAACCTAGCAGGTTGCTTTACATTCAGAGCTTGCTCCAAAGCTCTTTGAATAACATCCTCTCTTAAACAAGAACAGAAGACACATTCATTCACTCATTCCAGGGAGACAAATTTTACAGCTACATAAATGAAAAAAAGGAGTAGAAAAAGTGAGCTATGAAAGGAACCAAGAAGTAAGGTATACAGGTAGAGAGATCTTTTAAGTTCTCAGTGCAAAGTACTCAAAATATCAAAGATATTAGTTAGGTCTTTAGCCCTTAAACATTTCATATTCATAGGTCTGTGTCCAAGAGAGTAAAATATTTCAGCTTTTTCTTTTTGTCTGGGACTTAACAATGTGATCCAAATATGTACAATTCCATTAATAGTTTAAATATAGTTGACTGCGATTATGCTTATGACTTTTCTGGCTGTGATTGGCTAATTTATTTTTAGTCATGAAAATGTTTATGTAATTGCATGAAGGTGAAAAAAGATTATAAAAATTACCTCACTGCCACACAGTTTCCTCTACTTAATAGTATAACACAACCCAACCATACCAAATATACCAATGTGTGAGTATCTTTCAGACTTGTATACATTCTCATTTCATGAAGGGTGAACTAAAAGGAGACTTTGAGATACCCTACAAAGCTGACTTTTGTTTCATAAATAAGAAGTTAAAAACAGAACTCTAAAGAAATGGCATATTAATGAAAAGGAGGCTGGGCACAGTGGTTCATGCCTATAATCGCAGCACTTTGGGAGGCCAAGGCAGAAGGACAACTTCAGGCCAGGAGTTCGAGACCTGATGAACTTGTAAGACCCACCTCTATAAAAAATTAAAAAATTAGAGCAGGCATGGTGGTGCCTGTCTGTAATTCCAGCAACTCAGGAGGCTGAGACAGGAGAATGCCTGAGGCCAGGAGTTTAAGGCTTCAGTGAGCTATGATCATGCCACTGCACTCCAGCCTGGGCAACAGAGTGAGACCTCAGAAAAAAAGAAAAAGATAATCATAAATAATATTTGGAAAGGTTTGTTAAAAATTAAGTGTTTAAGAATGGACTTCTCCTGGCCCAGTGCAGTGACTCACACCTGTAATCCCAGCACTTTGGGAGGCCGAGGCAGGCAGATCACATGAGGCCAGGAGTTCAAGACCAGCCTGGCCAACATGGTAAAACCCATCTCTAGTAAAAATACAAAAATTAGCTGGGCATGGTGGCATGCACCTGTAATGCTAGCTACTCTGGTGGCTGAGGCATGGGAATTGCTTGAATCTGAGAGGCAGAGGTTGCAGTAAGCCAAGATTGTGCCACTGTACTCCAGCCTGAGTGGCAGAGCAAGACCCTGTCCCAAAAAAGAAAAAAAAATTGACTCATCTTAATCATAAAAAATATAATCCAAGCGATTTAGGCCATTCTTGTTTTGCTATAAGGAATACCTGAGACTGGGTGATTTATAAAGAAAAGAGGTTTAATTGGCTCACAAGGTTTAATTGATTCTGCAGGCTGTGAAAGCATTGCATGGGCACCTGCTTGGCTTCTGGGGAGGCCTTAGGGAGCTTTTACTCATGGCAGAAGGCAAAGTGGGAGCAGGTACATCACATGGCAAGAGCAGAAGCAAGAGAGGGGGAAGATGCCCACACCTTTAAACAGTCAGATCTTGCGAGAACTCACTATCATGAGGATAGAACCAAGAAGGTGGTGGTAACAATCAGTGAGAAATCTGCTCACATGATCCAATCAGGCCCCACCTCCAACACTGGGGATTACATTTCATCATGAGATTTTGGGGGACAGATATCCAAACTACATCACCAAAAGATAGGTCTGGTCTTATAGTATAGTTATAGTATTATATAACTTATTTATTTATTTTAATTAATTTTATCAAGACGGAGTCTCACTCTGTTGCCCAGGCTGGAGTGCAGTGGTGTGATCTCGGCTCACTGCAACCTCTGCCTCCCAGGTTCAAGCAATTCTCCTGCCTCCGCCTCCCGAATAGCTGGCATTACAGGGATGAGCCACCATACCCAGCTAATTTTTTTTTGTATTTCCAGTAGAGATGGGGGTTTCACCATGTTGGCCAGGCTGGTCTCGAACTCCTGACCTCAAGTGATCCATCCACCTTGGCCTCCCAAAGTGCTGGGATTACAGTCATGAGCCACTGTGCCTGGCCAGTATTATGTAATTTAAATATTCCAGGAATAGAGATGTTTGAAAGAAATTAAATTCATAAAATATCTTTATACAGTATACCTTTATAAAAATCTGTCTTCATACATCAAGCTATAAAATAGCTGTTTCTTTCCTCCTAATGAGCTACATCTTAAATTACACATAAGATATTAACAATCAGTAGCAACTGCTTCACATACGTGTTTTTTATTTACAGCTTAAATTTACATTGATGCCATAAGAGGTACTAAGTAGAAAACCTGTCATGTGAGAGCTACATTATAAAGAATTCTAAGCTAATTGACCCCGCATGATGGATGCCTTTGTATAATCTCCTTCCCTTGAGTGGGAGTGGAAACTGAATGTGATGGGCCATCACTCCTATGAATGTTACATTATATGGCAAAACAAACGTTATCCTGGGTGGGCCTGACCTAATCGAGTGAGCCCTTTAAAAGTATATATTCTTCCAGCTGGTTGCAGAAGAAGTCAGATATTCAAAGCATGAGAAGAACTCAGTGCATCACTGCTGGCTTGAAGATGGAGGGGCAACATGAGAAGGCATGTGGGTGGCCTCTAGAAGCTTAGAGTGATTGCTGGCTGACAGCCAGCAAGAAAATGGAGACCTCAGTCATCCAGTCACAAGGAACCGGATTTTCCCAATAATCTGAATGAAGTTGGAAGTAGATTTCTTCCCAGAGACTCTAGATGAGAACTCAGCCTGACCAAAATCTTGATTCTAGCCTTGTGATTCCCTGAGCAGAGAACCTAGACATACTGGGCTCTTGGCCTACACAACTGTGAGCTATAAATGAGTATTATTTTATGCTGCTAAATTTGTGGTAATTTGTTATACAGCAGTAGAAAATGAAAACAATAGCAAAGTACACATTTTGAAAAAGCCTCCCAAAACAGTTCACCAGTATTCATTCTCAATTTGTTGTTTTCAACCTTTATATGAACGGTGGGATTTACATTTTTGTAGTCACAGATCTGCGAATCATTGTTAAAAATCATAAATCCAAATCAAATCAGTCTTAGTCCTGCAGTTTCAGGGACTGAAACCAACTTTGCCTTCTAAAACTTACAGTGCCTTTTGGGGCATCAGCCTTAATCCATTTTTCACGTTTGCTTGCTTGATTCATGAGTCCTAAAATACAAAATTGCATAAAGTTATATCAAGAGCATTAATTGACCACATAGATCCTAGCAACACATCTATAAAACTGAAAAACACCTTAGAACATCAAGAATCTTGGTAAAGATAGTCTGAACCGGGGAAGAGTTGCAAAGAGGTTATCTGGGCTTGCTCCCCTCCATTCACTTTCTCAGAACAACCCTGTGAGGGAGGCTACTCTGTGTTTTATTTTGTTTTGTTTTGTTTGAGACAGAGTCTCGCTCTGTTGCCCAGGCTGGCGTACAGTGGCACGATCTCGGCCCACTGCAGCCTTCGCCTCCTGGGTTCAAGCGATTCTCTGGCCTCAGTCTCCCGAGTAGCTGGGACTACAGGCACGTGCCACCATGCCCAGCTAATTTTTTTGTATTTTCAGTAGAGACGGGGTTTCACCATGTTGGCCAGGCTGGTCTTGAACTCCACACCTCAGGTGATCCACCCACCTTGGCCTTCCAAAGTGCTGGGATTACAGGCATGAGCCACCATGCCCAGCCTACCCTGTATTTTTTTCTTTTTTTTTTAAGTAGAGACGGGGTTTCACATGTTGGTCAGGCCAGTCTCAAACTCCTCACCTCGTGATCCACCAGCCCCAGCCTCCCAAAGTACTGGGATTACAGGCATGAGCCACCACGCCGGAGCTCTGTTTTTTATTTGTACAGGATGAGTATCCCTTATCTAAAATGCTTGGGACCAGAATTTTTTCAAACTTCAGATTTTTTTTTTTTTGTAATATTTGGAGAAGACATACTAGTTGAGCATCCCTAATCTGGAGATCTGAAATCCAAATTACTCCAGTGAGCATTTCCTTGTTTCATGTTTTGGAGCATTTCAGATTTTGGATTTGGAATGCTCAGCATATATTATTTTTAAATGCAGTCTTAAAAAAGTGCTTTACTGGAGTATAACTGACAAACTACATGTACTTAAAGTATACAATGTAGTAAGTTTTGACATAGGTAAAAATCTGTGAACCATATCTCCTTAATCAAGATAATGAACATATTCATCACTCCCAAAAATGTATTTGTATTCAAGTGCAGTCTTTCCCTCATGCTCCTCCCTTCCTGTCACCCTCCAACCCCCACCCCCTTCAATTACTGATCAGCTTTGTAGCACTATGGATTTGTTGCTTTTTCTAAAATCTTATATAAATGGTATAAATGGGAGTATACAGTTATGCACTTTTTAAAAAAAATCCGTCTTCTTTAATTCAGCATAATTATTTTGAGGTTCATCCACAGTGGACCATGTATAGGTAGTTTCCCAACGCTTGCTCATTAGTACTTTGCTGACTGTTCATGGCACCTTCCGCAGTCCCCTCTGTGCAGCTTGCTCCCCTCCGGAACTTTCTCTTATGAACTCTGGGCAGCCCTGTCTCTCCAGAAGCTCAGCTCAGAAGCTCAGTCTCCTCTACTCAGGCAGTCTGCTGGGCTCTGCCTGTGCAACCTCTCCCTGCCCTGCAGCCTGGAAACTCTTTCAAGGTCATAGGCTGTGGCAATCACAAAGCTCTCCTTGTTTGTTTCTCAGATCTATTCTTCTAGTTCTATGTTTTCTTTACAAATCAAGGTTATAAAGGTGTTATATGTCCTCTGGAGTTCCACTGCAGTTCTGGATTTAAGAAACCAGTCAAATTGAGACAGAGCAGGGACTGCTTGTAGGGGCCTGTGGGCCCTTCTCAAGCACAAAAATTAAAAAAAAAAAAAAAGAAAAAAGAAAAATCTTGGGTTCGTTAAAACAATTCCAGGCACCTACCTAAGTAGCCTTAAAAAGCAAATAAGCAGGCAGGTGAGGTGGCTCAAGCCTGTAATCTCAGCACTTTGGGAGACCTGGGTGGGCGGATCACCTGAGGTCAGGAGTTTGACACCAGACTGGCCAACATGTTGAAACCCTGTCTCTACTAAAAATACAAAAATTAGCCTAGTGTGGTGATAGGTGCCTATAATCCCAGCAATTTGGGAGGCTGAGGTAGGAGAATGGCTTGAACCAGGGAGGCGGTGGTTGCAGTGAGCCGAGATCGTGCCATTGCACTCCAGCCTGAGCAACAAGGATGAAACTACGTCTCGGGGGAAAAAATAAAGCAAACGAGCAACTTAATAACAACAACATAATAATAGCTTAAAACAATAGCCAAAAAGGTTAAAATAGATGTCTTCTTTTCTGTAAGAACCAAAGACAAAATCTGAACATATGTCTCTGAGTTGTTTCTCAAAAACCTGGACCCCCACACCAAACAGATCTGCTGGAACGTGGACTTCAGATAAGCGGAAGCTCAAGACTAAACTCTGACCATTGTACATTTCTCAGGGGCCTGGAGAAGGTCATGCCCATGAGCCAGAACTAACATTCTTTTTTGCAGATCCCAAATTTTTAGATAAAGCTTCACTTCCTTAACCAATCAGAAACCAAAGAATCTTTAAATCCACCTATAACCTGCAGCCCCCCTGCTTCTAGATGTCTTGCCTTTTTAGGTCAGACCAATATGTAGGCCCCATGTATCAATTTATGACTTTGCTTATAACCTTTGCCTCCCTACCTTTATTTTAATTAATTTATTTTTTAATTTTTTCCATAGGTTATGGAGGTACAGGTGGTGTTTGGTTGCATAACTTCTTTAGTTGTGATTTGTGAGATTTTGGTGCACCCACCACTTGAGCAGTATACACTGCATCCCATTTGTAGTCTTTTATCCCTCACCCCCATCCCAACCTTCCCCCCAAGTCCTCAAAATCCATTGTATCACTCTTATGCCTTTGCGTCCTCATAGCTTAGCTCTCACATATCAGTGAGAGCCTATGATGTTTGGTTTTCCGTTCCTGAGTTACTTCACTTAGAATAATAGTCTCCAATCTCATCCAAGTCACTGTGAGTGCCGTTAATTCATTCCTTTTTATGACCAAGCGGTGTTCCATCATGTATATATATATATATATTCCACAGTTTCTTTATCTACTTGTTGATTGATGGGTATTTGGGTTGGTTCCTTGATTTTGCAATTGCAAATTGTGCTGCTATAAGCATGCCTGTGCAAGTGTCTTTTTCGTACAATGACTTCTTTTCCTCTGGGTAGATATCCAGTAGTGGGACTGCTGGATCAGATGGTAGTTCTACTTTTAGTTCTTTAAGGAGTCTCCACACTGTTTTCCATAGTGATTGTGCCAGTTTAGATTCTCACCAGCAGTGTAGAAGTGTAACCTCATCACCACATCCACACCAACATCTACTTTTTTTTGATTTTTTAATTATGGCCATTCTTGCAGGAGTAAGGTGGTTTTGATTTGCATTTCCCTGATCATTAGTGATATTGAGCATTTTTTCATATGTTCATTGGCCTTTTGTATATCTTCTTATGAGAATTGTCCAGTCATGTCCTTAGCCCACTTTTTGATGGGATTGTTTTTTTCTTACTGATTTGTTTGAGTTCGTTGTAAATTGTGGATATTAGTCCTTTGTCAGATGTATAGATTGTGAAGATTTTCTCCCACTCTGTGGGTTGTCTGTTTACTCTGCTGACTGATCCTTTTGCTGTGCAAAAGCTCTTTAGTTTAATTAAGTCCCAGCTATTTATCTTTGTTTTTATTGCATTCTCTTTTGGGTTCTTGGTCATGAAATCCTTGCCTAAGCCAATGTCTAGAAGGGTTTTTCTAATGTTATCTTCTAGAATTTTTAGTTTCAAGTCTTAGATTTAAGTCTTTAATCCATCTTGAGTTGATTTTTGTATAAGGTGAGAGATGAGGATGCAGTTTCATTCTCCTACATGTGACTAGCCAATTATCCCAGCACTATTTGTTGAAAAGGGTGTCCTTTCCCCACTTTGTGTTTTTGTTTGCTTTCTTGAAGATCAGTTGGCTGTAAGTGTTTGGGTTTATTTCTGAGTTCTCTATTCTGTTCCATTGGTCTGTGTGCCTATTATTATACCAGTACCATGCTGTTTTGGTGACTATGGCCTTAAAGTATAGTTTGAAGTCCGGTAATATGATGCCTCAGGATTTGTTCTTTTTGCTTAGTCTTGCTTTGGCTATGCGGGCTCTTTTTCAGTTCAATATGAATTTTAGAATTGTTTTCTCTCTGTGAAGAATGATGGTGGTTTTTTGATGGGGATTGTGTTGAATTTGTAGATTGCTTTTGGCAGTATGGTCATTTTCACAATATTGATTCTACCCATCCATGAGCATGGGATGTGTTTCCATTTGTTTGTGTCATCTATGATGTCTTTCAGCAGTGTTTTGTAGCTTTCCTTGTAGAGGTATTTCACCTCCTTGGCTAGGTATATTCCTAAGTACTTCATTTTTTTGTATTGTAAAAGGGGTTGCGTTCTTGATTTGATTATCTGCTTGGTTGCTGTTGGTGTTTAGAAGAGCTACTGATTTGTGTACATTAATTTTGTATCTTGAAACTTTGCCGAATTCTTTTATCAGTTCTAGGAGCTTTCTAGAGGAGTCTTTAGGGTTTTTGAGGTAAATAATCATATCACCAGCAAACAGTGACAGTTTGACTTCCTCTTTACCAATTTGGATACCCTTTATTTCTTTCTCTTGTCTGACTGCTCTGGCTAGGACTTCCAGTACTGTGTTGAAGAGGAGTGGTGACAGCGGGCATCCTTGTCTTGTTTCATTTCTCAGAGGGAATGCTTTCAACTTTTCCCCATTCAGTATTATGTTAGCTGTGGGTTTGTCATAGATGGCTTTTATTACATTGAGGTATGTCTCTTGTATGCCAATTTTGCTGAGAGTTTTAATCATAAAGAAATGCTGGATTTTGTCAAATGCTTTTTCTGTATCTATTGAGATGATAATGTGATCTTTGTTTTTAATTCTGTTTATGTGGTGTATCACATTTATTGACTTGCATATGTTAAACCATCCCTGCATTCCTGGTATGAAACCCACCTGATCGTGGTGGATTGTCTTTTTGATATGTTGTTGGATTCGGTTAGCTAGTATTTTGTTAGGAATTTTAGCATTTATGTTCATCAGGGA